TATCTCCTCAACTTCATTTTGAATTAATGATACTCAAAAGGTTCAGAGAATAGAAAGAGAACCAACATTAAACTATAAGATAGGTAACATGCATTTTAAAGGTGAGTCTGTGGAGTCTCCAAGAGATAATGTAATTTGCCTGCCCGCTGAAACCCTTTTGAACTCAAATCTGTCCTACTCTGCAGTCTATACTTCTTCCATTAATTACAATGCACTCTATAGAGTGTGTTGCCTATAGGATATGTTCTGGAAATCTGCTGGTTAACATGCATTTTGTTCACTTAAAACTGCCCTTAAGCATTCATGACATCGTGTATCAATAGCAATAATGCTTTCTCTATGGTTGATCTCAGTGAAATTAATGAATGTATTTAAGAAGCTTTTTTTTGAAAACAGATTAAATCTGTCAGTGTTTTATGGTGGTATACTCAGAACATTATAGTTCTGTCATAATTATAATGGAAATTTTGTATGAACAATGCAAAACATGCCTTGACATCTCTCTTGCAGAAAAAGTTAGTGTACTCTTTTGTTTGGCTAGAGTTAACTTTAATCAGCCCGTTAACACAGACATTTAGGAGATCTCACTTGCGATACTTAGGAAGCAGCCACTTAACATAACGCATCCTGCCAAGTTCAAGTGAATACAATACATAATAGAACACAATTTAGTGAAATAAGAGAATAGAGAGATCCAAACGACAAACCTTGTCAAGAACAAATCTGTCAGTACTCAAAAGAAACAATATTTTTTATATATAGCTCTCAGTATTGTCTTTGGTATTTAAAATATATATATATCATTAAAGTATTCCATAATAAACCTTTACAGTTTTGTAAGCAAAAGGCATTTCTCATACAGCACCAATCTTTTTTTTTATCTGAAGTTAATTTAGTCCCAATGTCCAAGCAAAAATCTGGCACACTGTCTTGTACTTTGTAGGCACTCTATAGATATTTGTTGGAATAATGAAGATAAATACTTGATCCCAAAAAATGAGTCTTAAGAAATCAGACATTTAATTTATATAAGTAGGGCTAATATTTACATAAGAAATGTATGTGAAATTAGTGATATCATCGCTTGTCTTCATGAAGTTAAATGTATACACGTTTTAGAGGAAGTATAATTTTATTGCCAAGTATCTTAGTTATCTAGTGCTGCTATAACAGAAATACCACAAGTGGATGGCTTTAACAAACAGGAATTTATTTTCTTACAGTTAAGGAAGCTAGAAGTCCGGCCCTGGAGAAAGGTCCTCATTCCTTGGCTTCCTAGTAATCTTCATGTGGCATGGCATCTATCCTCTCCCATCTTTGCTTCTCTGCTTGCCTTAATCTGCTCTTTTTATATTTTGTAAGAGATTGACTCAAAACACATCTTACATTAATCCTGCCTCATTAACATAACAAAGACAATCCATTCTCAAATGGGATTATAACCACAGGCATAGAGGTTAGGATTTACAACACATAGTTTTTGGGGACACAATTCAATCCATAACACCAAATTATGGGGAAAATATCCGTTAACTAAATTTATATGCATCTTTCTGAGCACATGAAATTATCAGCCTGCAAAATGCCTCAAAAATCTTAAAAATGCCACTGTAGAATTTATCAGGACTTCCACTAACAGTGACATTGACTTAGGTTATTTTTTTAAGATTGTTTGGTTTGACCTAACTTTGAATTATATCCATCTGTCTGCACTAAAGCAGAAAAAATAGCTATAAGCATAATAGAAAAATATAGATGCCTACTGTAAGATGGGACCATAGTTAGGCATCCGCTAACTTGAGAGAGAAAAAATGACACTTCTCTGACTGTTTTTTTTTTCCCACTGAAATAAAAAAAACACATACATTATACCATAATACAAAAAAGACATGGCGAGTTCTCATAAGGTGGGAAAATGACTAACAATTTTAAATGGGGGAAGAAAAAAGTGTCCTGTTTTATAGTAATTTTATTATTTCAATAGAAGATCCCAAATAAGTTTTATGGATATATGTGCTGGAAAAGACTCTTCACTTGGGGCTTCCGTATTTCAATCATGTATTTTTTCTTTGGGGAAAAAAAAAAGGCGAAGCAAACTGAAACAAGGCACTATACTACCTGCTGGATTATATGGTCATTTCACAAATATGTGTGGATCACCTACAATACGATGGGCATAAATATTTATCAAGATCCTACTATTGAGGATACAACAACAAACAAAACCAGTCCCCTACCTTGAGGAGTTTATAATCTACAGCTGCCTACCCGGGCACAAGATACAGAGATAAGCATGTGCACTTCCTGTTCTTAAGGATTGACCTAAAGGGCACAAGAAGGGAACCACTTTCAAAATTGGTTTTTTGGAACTCTAATGACATTTTGTAATGTTCCAAAGGAAAGCATACAACTTCTTTATATATTTCCCCTCCATGATTCAGCTGAAACCTGGCTGACCTCCACATACCTGACTTCACTGCAGTCCTTTCAAGAACAAGCCTTTTTATTATCCCACACCCCAAATTCCTAAAGCAATTTTAGCATTCTCTTAGTCTCACTTTTCCTATTCTAGATCATTATCCTTCTACATTCATGCGAGAATCCTTTAAATCTTATAGTATCCAAAACTACAACCCTCTAACTTCCTCCTTTCTGTCATCTTTCTGATAAAACCATCTTTCTCCACATTTATTGCAAGGTTTGGCCCACAGTTTACAGATTTCTTTCTATCTCATTTCCCTCAATTCTCCTGGAAGATTTCCATATCCAAAAACCAAAACCAAACCCACTGCTGTCAAGTCGATTCCGACTCCTAGCGATCCTATAGGACTGAGTAGAACTGCCCCATAGAGTTTCCAAGGAGTGCCTGGTGGATTTGAACTGCCAACCTTTTGGTTAGCAAAGGTAGCTCTTAAACACCATGCCACCAGGGTTTCCTTCCACATCCAAGCAGAGGTCAAATCCAACGGCCTCGTTGAACTGCTAGTTGTAATCTTCAAATCCAATCACTTTCACCTCCACAATGTTTCAGTATCCATTCCCATGGCAACACACTCGATCTTACCATCTGAAAGTTCCCCAGCCTGGTAATTTAAACCTCCAACAATCCTTTCTTTCATCGAATCCCTTCCCTTTCAGCTCTCTCAAACTCTTTCTCCCAGTAACCTTGCTCTTAAACTGAATTAGACCTTTAGTCCCCCTGTCTTGACCCTCTATTACTTCCTTCCCTATGCTTTGGACATTTTGAGGTTTATAACCTCCCCCACTTTTTCTACCAAAAACCCATCTCCATAGAGTTGATGCCTACTCATAGCAACCCTATAGGACAGAGTAAAACTGCCTCATAAGAGTTTCCAAGGTTGTAAATCTTTACGGAAGCAGACTGCCACATCTACAGAACTGCTGGAAAGTTCGAACCATTCACCTTTGGGTTGGCAGCCAAGCGCCTAACCATTGCGCCACTTTATTGTCACTGTAGTTTAGGAAAAAGAATTTGAAAGAGCTCAAAGGGAAGGGGGTTTGATGAAAGAAGGGGTTGTTGGAGGTTTAAATTCCAGGGTTGGGGAACTTTCAGATGGTAAGGGCCAGTGTGTTGACATGACAACACTCTGTGTTAAAGGAGCACTTAATATATTGCTTTGTAGACTCCTGTTTGTCTGTATCTCTCAAACAACGTACAGAGGCCATGTTTTGTCAACATTATAGTCACCTGCCTAGCAGAGTGCCTATAGCCTTAAAAAAAAAAATAGTTGCTCTCCAGTTGGTTCTGACTCATGGCCACCCCATGTGTGTCAGAGTAGAACTGTGCTCCAGAGGGTTTTCAATGGCTGATTTTTTTGGAAGTAGATCACAAGGCCTTTCTTCCAAGGCGCCTCTGGGTAGACTTGAACCTTGGTTAGCAGCCAAGCACATTAACCATTTTCACTACCTAGGGACTACATTAGTATCATGACATGTGCATAAATAATATTAGGATGAATGACTAGACCACTAGAAATAATGAGCATAAGATGTATTTTTTCCTGTGAGTTAACAGAAATTTATCACTGAAGGGATATTATGATCATTTAATTCAACTTCCCAATTTTCTAAGAAGCCCATAGACGCAGATTTAAGTATTATCTCTGCTAATAAGTTACTTCTAATCTTGTTAAGGAGTCCTTGGTGGTACAAATGGTTAATGCACTTGGAGATTTGAGTCCACTCAGAGACAAGCACCTTGGAAGAAAGTCTGGCAATCTACTTCTGAAAAATCAGTCATCAAAAACATTATGGAGGGTTGTCCTGACATACGTGGGGTTCCCATTAGTCAGAATTGAATTCACTGAAAAGAAAACATGATTTTTAATAAAGCACTCTGGAGGCTCTGTCTCATCATGACAACTTTTTATTTTTTTAATTTTGTTAAGTCATCTTCCTCAGTTTCCTAATAGGTACATTCAAAAGACTGAAATAGACTATAGTCTCATCCTGTTCTGAAATGCTCTCATTCCAAGCACAATTTTCAAACATACAATCTGCATGCCACCTGTGTATGTGAATACTATTACACTTGACTGAGGGAAGCTCAAGGTGCAATCATTTACTTAGATTATTTGACTCTTTGGAGTAAGTTAGAGCAGTTGTCAATGAATGGATGAATGAATGAGTGGATGCTGGATTGAATGCCAATTTAGAAGAGTTCTAATATTTTCTGACCTCGTTTGATATTTTGAGTTGCAAATAGGGAAATAAGAACAGAAATTTTGAATCTCTCTGTGACTTTGTGAGGGAGAATGAGAATGATAAAGAGACGAATCAGACATCTTAATCAAAACAATATTAAGTGATAAAATGTGTGATAAAGTGTGAAAAAATGAATCTGTTCCAAAGAAGGTTTTAAATTTATACAAATATACAAACAAAAGTAAAATGGATTAAAAAAAAAAAAACCAAAAACCAAAACCATGCTGTACTGTTTTAGGTTAACTCTAACTTTTTTTTTCTCTCTGTCTCTGCAGATTGGACACTGTTCTGTTTTTTACTGCCTAGGCTATCACTTTCCTAAAGCAGTTGAACAGGCCCCAGAGGACAAAAGTATCACACTGAAGGACGTGAGCTTTTCCAGCAGGGAAGCTACTGGAGTTCTGTTCTGTTGATTCAGTGTGTCTCTTCAGATCAGATGAGTGAGAGGAGCCATGCCTGTCAGCGGATTTACTGCCACTGCACACACTCATGCCAAATCAAGCAGAATCCAGAATTCCCTCTTTATGGGTGGTATCTCCAACTCCAAGGGTAAAACTGAGGATTCTGTTCAGTGATCTGCAGCAACTCTCTTACTTTTAAATATCATGGATTCTCACAGAAGAGCTTGTGGGTTAAAGCATGTGTGTGGCCTAAAGCAATCATGGATTATTAATAGGATCAATGCTCCATAACAGGGAACCAAAATGTACCTAAACCCATCATTTAAACAGAATCATACCCAAATGCCCAATATCGAGAAACATAGGACTAAAATTGGAATTCATTAACCTAATGCTCTGCCACTTCCTGTATCTTCAGTGAAAAACTGTGTTCAGGTGCTATATTCTCTGAAATATAAAACGCTCTAGTGAGTTTTAGAAAAAGCTTCAGCAATGAAAAAGGTGACACAACCTTCCTTAATGAAGGTTGTCTGTTTAACCCTGTTAACGAAATAACTAAATTGAAACTGTATTTTCCAAGCTTTCAAATTATGTAGGATTTACCGTAACTTTCAAGTTCAATAATATTGACTCAGACTCTGTGGAAGAAAATCAATACAATGAAGAACATGAGGTCGATTGTGGCTGCATTTACTAAGTTTGTACCTTACGAGGTCATTCTTCTCCCTTCAGACAGAATCTTATGTGTTTCAGAAAAATATAATTCTATACTTACTAAAAATTTCTATAGATAAAGACACCAGAATTTTTCTTTACTGGCAAATGATAACTGCTTAACAGCTTTTATTCTCAGGAAAATTCTTTATTATTATGCATTCAATGGAGTACTATGAGTTGTATTATTGCACATTATTCTTTACATCGAAAAAAAGTTCATTTTTATCCTCCTTTTTTTTTTCCCTCAAAGTCTCAATTTCCATAACGGATATTTCTCCATCATCTCCTATTATAAGATGAAAAAGCCATAATCAGATGTGACAACTCAGTTATTTTTCATTTATACTCTCTGTCTCATAACTATTTATTATTATATTCACTTCTTGTTTTTTGTTTTTGTTTTTATTTTTCCCTAATTGGAGTACTTTGTATTTGACTCATTGGGTTTTGTTTCCAGTTTATTTTTTAGTTTACGAAGGTGATTTTGAGCTCTGGAACGCTAACTGCCTTTCCTAACTTGGTGACTTATACAAATTTAATATTTTCTATCCTGTCACCCAGGCCCTATTCCAAAACAAGAGAAGACTCCTATTATTCATTTATTCAGAAGTTAACCATCCACTACCAAATATATAAATGGCAGCTTAATAAAGTTTTAAAAAGTAGATCTAACCATTAAATTAAAAAATTTTGCAGCCTAGCATAGGAAATAAGGTTGAATTATATAAACATAATGTACAATAGAATGTGATCATGAGACAGAAGTAGGGAGATGGCATTTCTATCTGTATAGATCACGGCAGGCTTCACAGAAGAGTGGAATTATAGCTAGGAGGGATAAGATTTGTCAGGCAACAGGGATGTTGGGAGAACACTGTAGTAAGAAGGCAGACAAATACACAAAGGTATGAAAAAGATGCCTGTTTAGAGGAAAGAGTAACAGTAAATTATTCAGTTTGCTTTAAACAAAATACATAGGATAAAATAAAAAAGGTTGGAATGGGAAATTTTATTGATATTTTATCATCCAAAATATAAATATATAATAAGATATTTCCCCCAGTACTCATCTACATAAAGGATATACATAGAATTCAATTTCTGGTTAATTTCTTAAGACAACCTTTCAGGAAAATTGTATTTATTTGGAAAAAGTAAGCTCTGATCACTTGTAATTGGACCAGGGTTTTGACACTACACCTTTTAGGGTATAAGGAAAATTATGTAGAACTCTGCAGTGACACTTAGGAAAGCAATAAAATATTTAGCAATCCGCTTGTGTTTGGGCACCTACAGTATTCATATAATCTGCATCTCTTGCTGATAGTGGTCTATTCAGTTTAGGTATCTAGTGTAAGGATCAGAAGACAATTAACAATTAATAAGAAGCTCAAATAGCTTACCTGATATCGTTTCTATGGTTTTAACTCCTTGTTTCAGCTACTTTACAACAATACTGTTAAATCAAAACAAAGGTTACTAAACAAGTTAAGATAAGAGCAAGAGGGCTTAAAATAATCCACAATTAATTTCTGCATTTTTCTTTGTTATGTAATTCTTCTACAAAGTCACAGAAGTGAAAAATTGCCTTAAAACATTTCAGTTCCATAAACAATGTGAATATTTCATGGGTTAAGTTGATTTTAATAATCAAAAAAGGGAATTTTTACCAAGATATATTGAAATCATCTACGAAATAGAGAAATATAAATCTAAAACCTTATTTAGCTAAATATTTTTGTCACACCTTTACAGGCTCAGATGAACTTTAAAATTATTCTTTTTATTCTGTAAGGGGCCTAGTCTTCTACATATTTATAACTTCTGATGAAGAAAAGAATTATCTCTATGTTTAATGTGTCCCAGAACTTTATCTACTCCCCAAATGATTAATCATCTGGATTTAAATATTACATGTTCGTTAATTAATTGACTTGATCTCAGTGAATTTTAAATTCCAAGTGGAAGAAAAATTAATAGTAACTCAAAAATGAAAATTCTATCATTTCAAGACAATGTGTGGCAAACCACCAACTGTAATCTCTTGCACTAAAGATGTCTTCAGATTGTTTCTATTTATCTTATCTTTAGAGGTAATGAAAGAAGAGCCTGTATATGAGGGCTTTCCTATAGAAGACCATTACAATTGCGTTGATCTCATCTTGAAAAATCTAAAGGTAAAAGACACCCTTTACTTGAGAGTGTGAGTTTTGATTATAGGTCTTTTACTCTAAAAAAAAAATTAATTGTAAATAATTGATCTAGAAGAAATATTTTGCAAAAATTTCACTTTCCTCCACATATTCAGGGCATCACTAAAAACAAGATAACTGTTTATCTATGCAGACGTACCTCTAATTTATGACAGATAAGACTGATTGAGAGCCACATTAGTTATTAAAGCCAAATCAGAAGAACAAATAATTATTGAGCACCTAATCAAGAATAAAGAAACTTCTTTATAAAAAGACCTGTGATGAACTTTGAAAAAAGTTAAACACAAATTTTTATGTAAATAAATGCTAATAAACATGGATAAATACCAAAATACAATTTCTGAGAACTACCAGTTAAGAGATTGGACTTTAGATAATTCTTGGTTCCTAACCCAGTACCTCCACTTACTGCTGTCTGTCCTTGGGCACATTATTTACTCTCCTGTGCCTTAGTTTTCACGACATTTCTTGGCCCCGGATTCAAGGATTCTGAAGGAGGAAATGATACTATATAATCGTTGTCAGTCTAGGGAATATATTTCAACCTGTGGGGCTATACCCCAAATTCAAAGAGTGCTATCTCCTATTTGGTGTAATGACTGGACACTGAGCAAGCCATTCTACCAAATCAAGCCAACTAATTCTGTGTATTGTGGCATATAGTAAGTCCACCAAATTCCATGGGTGTGAACCCATTGCTATACTTCTTGTCTTGTAAAAGGTGTCCCTTGGCTAGATCTGAATTTGTGGAGATGCAACAGCAATGAAAGAGGCTTTTTGTAAGTTCACAGATGAAGTTACTGGCAGAAGGACTATGGACATAGATTGCCTGTCAACAACCAAAATGAGTGTCTGTCCCAGTATATTTTAATTTTCTGTCCTTTCCATGTTAGAAAAGATCCAATATCATCAATCTGCCACCAGGTGCCTAGCTGTTCTCCTTAGGGAATGGTGCTATCAAAGCCTTCAGTGTTGGTCTTTGCTATTGGCAGCCCTGCCACTAGCCAGATCAGCTTTGATGAAGGAAAGTCCATGTTTTTGAGCCCATGACTAGCATTCATCTCTGCTACCATAAGCATTCCTTCTCCAGCCATGTGGACTGACTAAACAAGTAGAAGGATGACTGGGGAAAGAAACTGAGTGACATTCATAGGATGAGTCCTTTTGACAACCTGATTATTAAGATCCTCTCTAGTGGAAGCCCTCTGCCTGGCTTTTTACATGGAACAGGAATATATTTTCCCTGTGTCCATTTGAAATGTTCTTCCACTTATCCCCTTGTCACCAATATTTCCATCTTGTTTTTTCCATTTTCCTGACTATCTAAAAAAACAGTTGCCTTAGAGTCGATTCTGATTCATGGAGAACCCATGTGTGTCATAGTAGAACTGTGTTCCATGGGTTTTTTTTTTTTAATTGTATTTTAGATGAAGGTTTATAGAGCAGATTAGTTTCTCATTAAACAATTAATACACATATTGTTTTGTGACATTTGTTGCTAGCCCCACAACATGTCAACACTCTCCCCTTCTCAATCTTAGGTTCCTCATTACCAGCTTTCCTGTCTCCTCCTGCCTTCTCGTCCTTGCTCCTGGGTTGGTGTGCCCATTTAGTCCTGTTTTGTTTTATGGGCCTGTCTAATCTTTGGCTGAAGGGTGAACCTCAGGAGTGACTTAATTGCTGAGCTAAAATTGTGTCTGGGAATCATACTCTCTGGGTTTCTCCATAGGGTTTTTGATAGCTGATTTCTTCCAAGTAAATCACAGGCCTTTCTTCTGAGGCACCTCTGGAGGAACTCAGACCCCCAACCTTTTGGTTAGTAGCCAAAAGCATTAACCATCTGCATCACCCGGAGACTGTCCTGGCTATCTAGCAAACCTATTAGTGCCTGCCCATGAATTAGCGTGTATCAGTCCTTTAGGCAATCTCCCCTTTCTCACAAAGTAGACAAGCAAATGTAGCCCACAGTTCTTATCATGGGAACATTTCACTTCATCATTGTCTTTCAGGGCTACCTCTGAGTGGGGCTGTTATGCAGCAGGCATCTACTGCCAAATAGTGCCAACACACTGTACAGATCCATATCTAAAACAGGCCCGTGTTTTTCCTTTCTCCATTAACTGGTCTTTGGGAAATCCCCCAAAAGGCCATAGGTCTGTTTGAGAGAGAGAAAAGCTATCATTCTATTATTGAATTCTAATTTCATTCCCTAGTGGAAAGAAATATTACAGAATGATTTCAGTTCTTTGAAATCTATTGAGATTTGATTTGTCACCAAAGAATAGATATACTTTGGAAAAAGTTTCATGTACATCTGAAAAGAATGTGTGTTAAATGATTGTTATGTGCAGTATTCTACATTAGTCAATTAAGTTGTTTAAATACATTCCTCAAATCTTAAATCCTTACTGATGTTTTGTTTGCTTGTACACAGTCACTGTAACAAAAAGAATTGGTCGATGTTCATCCATTTCAGGAGGTAGCATACGCTCAAAAACCAATGGCAGTGAAAGAAGAAGTCTAAGCTGCACTGAAATCATTGATGAAAAACAAGTTTCCAGGAATCGATGGAATACCATCAGAAATGTTTCAACAAAGGTATGCAATGCTGGAAGCACTCAGTGGTCTACATCAAGAAATTTGGAAGACAGCTACCTGGTCAACCAACTAGAAACGATCCATATACCTGCCCATTTCAAAGAAAGGTGATCCGACAGAATGCAGAAATTATTGAACAATATCATTAATATCACACACAGGTAAAATTTTGCTGGAGGTAATTAAAAAACGGTTGCAGCAGTACATCGACAGGGAACTGCCAGAAATTCAAGCAGGATTTAGAAGAGGACATGGAATGAGAGATATCATTACTGATATCAGATGGATCTTGGCTGAAAGCAGAGAATACCAGAAAGATTTTTAAAAAAAAAAAAAAAAAAAAACCATTGACGTCGAGTTGGTTCTGACTCATAGCAACCCTGTAGGACACAGTAGAACTGCCCCATAGGGTTTCCAAGGAGTGGCTGATGGATTTGAACTGCCGACCCTTTGGTTAGCAGCCGTAGCTCTTAACCACTCAGGCTCCAGAAAAAGATGTTTATCTGTGTTTTACTGACTACGCGAAGGCATTCATCTATGTGAATCAGAAGAAATTATGGATAACATTTCAAAAACTGGGAATTCCAGAACACTTAATTGTGCTCATGAAGAACCTGTACAGAGTCCAAGAGGTAGTCATTCAAGCAGAACAAGAGGATATTGCATAGTTTAAAGTCAAGAAAGATGTATGTCAGGGTTGTATCTATCCTTTCACCATACTTATTCAATATGTATGCTGAGCAAATAATCTGAGAAGCTGGAGTATATAAAGAAGACAAGGCATCAGGATTTGAGAAAGACTCATTAACAACCTTCATTATGCAAATGACACAACCTTGCTTGCTGAAAGCAAAGAGGACTTGAAGCACTTATTGATGAATATCAAAGATCACAGCCTTCAGTATGGATTATACTTTAACATAAGTAAACAGAAAGCCTCACAACAGAACCAATAAGCAACATCATGATAAATGGAGAAAAGATTGAAGTTGTCAAGGATTTCATTTTACTTGAATCCACAATCATCGCCTATGGAAAGAGCAGTCAAGAAATCAAAGGACATATTGCATTGGGCAAACCTGCTGCAAAAGACCTCTTTAAAGGGTTAAAAAGCAAAGATGTTACTTTGAGAACTAAGGTGTGCCTGACCCAAGCCATGATATTTTCAGTCACCTCATAAGCATGTGAAAACTGGACAATGTATAAGGAAGACTGAAGAAGAATTGATGACTTTGAATTATGGTGTTGGCAAAGAATACTGAATGTACCATGAACTGCCAGAAGAACTAAAAAATCTGTCTTGGAAGAAGTACAGTCAGAATGCTCCTTAGAAGCTAGGATGGAGAGACTTTGTCTCACATACTTTGGGCATGTTATCAGGAGGGACCAGACCCTGGAGAAGGACTTCATGCTTGATAAAGTAGAGGGTCAGTGATAAAGAGGAAGCGCTGAATGAAATGGATTGACACAGTGACTGCAACAATGGGCTCAATCAGAGCAACTATGGTGAGGATGATGCAAGACGTGGCAGTGTTTTGTTCTATTGTACATAGGGTCACTATGAGTCGGAACTGACTCAAGGGCACATAACATAACATAACATAACATAACATAACATAACATAACATAACAACATAACATAACATAAAATAACATAACAAGCGTAAAACATAACATAACATAACAAACATAACATAACATATAATCTATATTTATATATTCCAATGAATATTCCCAAGCTTTGCTCTGGCACACAATTAAGTTACATGAAAACAGTTTGAGTTTTTTTGTTGTTGCTTTTAAGGTTAGCTAGGCAAGACCGTAGCAGCCTTTAATCTAGGGCTAAATTTCCCCACTACTGAGGCAATCCTCTTCTAAGTTCTCTACCCAATCTGGTGCCATGAGTTTTTCACACTGGCTACTGGGACACAAACTATTCTTATCCCAACGTGAGTTTCATAGGTTGTTCCCTGGGCTCCTGGTGGTTCTACATTCAGCTTCAGGTAGTTTCCTAGAACGCATGCTTTGACTATCTAGAACTTAGCTTAAGACTTTTGGGGTTCTTCTGCAGATGTCTATAGCTCTCTTCACTGCACATCCCTCTCTTCTCCAGTACCCTCCTCTTCCTCAGACACCCACTTTCATCTTTGGGTATTATTGACCATCCCTTTTACTTTTAATCCATCATCTATATATTCTAAATGGATTTTTGTGAATAACATAGTTGAGTCTTGCTATTTTTAAATCCAACTTGACAACCTTTGTCTTTTAATTATAGTGCTTAGACTATTTACATCTAATGTAATTGTTGGTATTCTATCTGTATCTACCATCTTGTTATTTGTTTCCTTTCTCCTCTATTCTTTGTTCCTTTTTTAAAATCTTTTAGATTTAGTATATCTTAGAATTCCATTTTATCTTGTTAAAGCGCCTGTAGGTTTTTAGTGGTTGTTCAATGGATTAACGTCTAATAATTTTCATATATCCCTTCTAATCCTGTTATACCACTTCATATATAGTGTAATAACCTCATAAAAACACGCTTCCTTTGCCTCTTCTGTCCTTTGTAGTATTAAGTCATACCTTTTACTTTTAATATATATTATATATATTTCTTAAAATGTGGATTGTGACCCTGCTAGATTGATGCCATGACTACTAAAGGATCACATCAGTTACAATTTGAAGAACACTGATACATAGGTTTCATGAGCTATTGTGGAGGCTCATTCCACTCTGCTACCAATGATGTGAGGAAAAAAAAAAAACTCACATGACCTACTTATAGGTTATCTAGTATTTCCTATACATTGGTTTTCCTTTGGCAACCGTACTTCTGAATAGGATGATGGAAACAGTCTTAGCAGACAATAAGATTCATCCTGTAGAGAAAAGACTAGGACTAGTTACAAACCTTACCAGCTTTATCTCACATACCAAGATAGTATGAAAATGTAACACAAAAGAAAAAAAACTTAGAAAAATAAAAATATGCCTTCAGATTATATAGCCAAAAAATGAGTAGGTTAAACACTGATTATTCTAAAGTATTTCAAGGGTCTTCTATAAATGAACACTGAACAAGCTTTTGGTTCTGAACAGATTGAGGGTGAAAAAGGAAGGGATAAACAGAAATTAGAATATATCTCTCCTGGAAGAAAGATAACGTATTGTGGTAGTAAAATAGTCGTATATTCTCTAATTTATCATCAGGATCTCTAAATGTTATCATATATTTTAGATGGCTCACTTGTACAGTCAGGAGCTGGATTAAAAACACTTAAGAAACAATGAAGATTAGTTAGCCTATAAAAACACTAAACAAATTGCAGAGCGATATCAGAAACATTTCTATTTTACAAGGTGGAAATTGAAACCTCAACATAATTTATTCCAAGTTGAAAATGAACATACTATTAATAAAAATGTGTGCTTTGGAGTTACTAAACATTTTGCTACAATTATAAAATTATTCGTATAAAGTTGGCAGGACTCATAAAAGAATAATGTCTTAGTGAATAGTGTTGTCCTTATCCACCAGGCGCTCCTGGGAAACTCTATGGGGCAGTTCTACTCTGTCCAATAGGGTCGCTGAGCCGGAATCGACTCGACGGCAACGGGTTTGGTTTTTTTTTCCCCCAAACATGGAAATTTCATCATACTGTAATAGAAAAGTTATCTCATTATATTATTTCATTTTATATGTTGATTTAAAAAATCAGCATACTGATTGTGATTGATAAATCATCAAGATAACCCAAAGAGATGTTTAGGTTTTTCCTAGGGTAATTGGAACATGACAAATTGAACTAATTTTTGTAACATCACACTCTAACTAGAAAATTAGAGTACATAAAGTGTGAATTTATTATAATTCAGCTGTAAGACTAAACTAAATCTATTTTGTTTAACAAAGTATAGTCAATGTATAGACAGAACCTAGCACAGTGCCTTATATATGGAAGCTTCTTGTAAATATTGATTGAATGAATGAATGAATGACTATTAAAACTAGGTATCACAGGTTTTGTAGTGGACCTTGCAACCTGGCTCATAATTTATTAGTGTAGTGGCCATGAGTTGGAATCAACTCAATGGCAACAAATAACAGCATAGTCTCTGGTAAATTACCTAATTTGGCTGAGCTTGTTTAGAATTTAAAATAATGCGTGAAAGTCATGTGGTAATTAGCAATTTTCAGTAAGTGGTAATTACCAATTCAAGTATATCTTTATAATATGTCTTATTCTTTTAACATGTTTCCTGATCTTATTGAAGAAAGGTAAAAAACTGTTTAATGAGAAAAAAATCTTCCTCATTCCTGGGATATTAATAGCCTGTCAAATATCTAAGTAGAAGCTCCTCCATCTTTTTATTTGTTTGCTTTGGTTCTTCATTTGTCTTTTTCAGGTACTCTTTCCTATTTAGCATGAGTAGGTTTTTGATACAAGAAGAGTTGGAGTCAATGATAAAAGCAAGAACGACTATACTTAGAATTATAATAATAAACTTTAAACTCTAGAACAGCTTGTTTAGAACAATTGTAGTCATATAGCTCAATGCGACTGTGATGTTTCTACAAATTTGATATACCTGAATGTGACTTTTAAAAAATCCTTGTATTCTAGTATCGTTCTTGCACTATAGATAATGTGTACTATTTATCAACATATAACTAATATACATTCTTAATCTATAACTGCCTATATATTTTAGAAAATTCTTTAATATTACCTAATATAGCATATATGTTCATAAATATGAATGTTCTTTATTTCTTTTAATGTTTTTATCCCTGGTGGAATGAATATCATCTTTCTTTTCCAACACAGACAGTTTATATTTTATTTTCTAAGAATGATGGCATTGATTTAATTAATGGAGGAGGCGTGACTGAAGAGACAATTCAGGTTTTAAAAACACTTCACCCTGAATGTGACTGGATTATCCCATGGGCTGCTAAAAACTACAGTAACCATAGGGAATATCTGTTGTGTTTGGAAACTTAGTACTTAATTGAACATTTGGCCTGA